CAGTACCAGCGTTGAAAGCGTGCGTGTATACCGCGGGGCTCACAGGCTTCCTGCAATACACATAGGATCGATCCCCGCGCCACAGGCCCACCAAGCCCTCCATCCCTCCGAGGTCAGCAAATTGATGTCAGACCTGTCTGGGATTATAGCAGCATTGGCTCAATACATCGGTGGGCCACAGCGAAACATTGTAAAGGCCGGATATGAATTCAATCACCTCTAACGTTGGTTAATGAAATTGAATACATGGTGCATCTCTCAGAGATGGACCAACGCTAAGAGCTTTATCCTTCATTTCAATTTTAACATTTAAAAGTATGAAAAGACCTCAACAACAATGCCTATAGACTGGTCATAATGGAGGAAAGAGGGAGGAAGAGAGACAGAAGAGATAAAAGAGGCACACTGAATAAACATCCTGGCTAAAGATATGCACAATAATGAAGGAAAGAAGAAAAAAATTACTGAGAAGTAGGTTCATTCCTCCAAATCTGAGTGTTACAAAATATTAACTAGTAATCGGTCTTTGACTGAAATTCAAGTTGAAAGAATTCGACGTATTGGTTGAGCGGCTATAAAAATCAATATATAGGCAAAATTCAATAGAATTCAAAAGCTGTGCCAGTCGTTGTACAAAAAATCATTTCTTTTATTCAACCTACCTACTTACATCCATCGTCCACGAATACCTTCCCATTTGCGTGCACTCCTTGGGGAGTTCTGGCTATCTACGAATGTCGCTGTATGTTGGTCGAGTTGATTCTCCCTGGAATTCTGAGATACCTTAGGGTGCTCCCAGGTCTACAGGGCAGGAATTCGCCAAATTTTATGGACAGGAGTGAGCTCTTCTCGCACAAGTCTGATACTGATTTCCCGACTGCATAAGAGGTTTGACTGGCTTGGACTGTAACGAACCAGGTCCTTGCACCTATTGAACGGCATCTCCACCATATCGCTATCCTTATCCCAAGCGTTTTGTACACAGGTAAAAACAACACTGACGTTTACTACTGAAACAACCCAAACAGTTTCTCTGCTTCAGGCTTGAAATTCTATAAATGAACTCTCAAAAACATACATTACCAGCGCGGTTTACTGTTTTGAGATAATAGCATAAATCCGTGGTATTTCTCTTGACCGTAAGCGATTTCAGAGAAGTTAAAACTAGAGGATCCTAGATCCTCTTTACTTCTTCCGAGTAAAACTATTGAACTAGTAAAACTTGGATACTTCAACAGCATCTTCTCACAGTATGCCGGTCCAGCACAATCTCCTTTCGCTTCTTCCCTTTGCGATCATCTTGTATATGGTGCACAGTTTCGAGAATGATGATCTCTACGAATATGATTTCGTGATCCATGGATCTCGAAGATGAGCTAATTTTTGGTAGCGCGTAGATCCTCCTGATTGGTTGAGATGTTATCTCGGACGTAATAGAGTGCTGGAAGAATTGTTATGTCAAAAGGTGAGTTAAAGTGGACTTTTGCGTTTGTTGGTTCATCGGTGGCTTCTCTAAAATAACAGGACACAGGCCGAGACGACTTTCTTTCTCTATGAAAGTCCTCCTCCACGTCGTTTTAGATATTAATTGAAACCTCTAAGCACGTGGATAAAGTGGTCTCTGCACTGTAGATTCATCCATTTCGATTTCAATCGTGTCCCATCGTAGACAGTTTTACCTCTTCTTCGTTTTGTTAAGATCATTGATCATTATTTCCGGTACACTGGCACTCCATGAAACCATCTTTACATCGAAAACGAAACGTTGAAATCACTGCATATGTCCTTTTCGACCAAATCAGCAACTTCGTTATTCGCTGCATCTCGGCTGCAAACATGCTCGCTGAATTGGTCGCTCTCAGCCGGACCGCTTCCTCAACGATAATAAAGGGCTCTAGGGAAAAGCTGCTCTTTCATGCTGTCGTTACGATGGCGGTCGAATTGTAGGGGTCTACTATTTGGTCAACGAACGCTGGCAGGACGACACTTGCTTCGAAACCGTGGGATCTTTCGTAGTCGACAAAAATGTGAATAAGAAGAAGACTTAGTATTTCCAACAGACTTCCGCCTCTATTAGTCTTCGATGGGAATTCATTCAACAGAATTCCAACCAAATAATCCAAAGTGATATGCGACTTGACTAATGTAAAGATCTCGTTGAGCACATTTAACAAGAACATTGTGTGGTAGTCACAAAGATCCTATCGGCCTCACTTTTTAACGGAATAATCGTGCACAAGTTCCTGGACTGCTGTGATCCTCTCCTCTTGAAAGTACGTTGTTATGGGATCGCGAAAAGTAGATGTACCTTGATGCTTCAACCCCGAAGAGAGTTTACTATTATGATGTTGTCGCACCCTAGAGCTCTGGTTCAACAAGCCCTCGCTGCATCAGATGGGAGAATCCAGAATGGTTCCATACTGTCGACAGACTCAAAGTATGGAACTCAAAAAATTAGATCAGGATTATGCGCTATGAATTGCGCGCTACGGTGAGTGATGGCAACGAGCTCATATACATTAAGTGGGACCAATAAAACGCAATCCTATAAATCACGATGGTTTCTTTAGCCTGGTTCTTGAGCCGCTTCCAACACTTCCGCCTATTCTTGCCCGAGCATTCCTGCAAAAATTCTCTCCAACTGGCATATATTATAAGCTTTATTATTTTGCATTAAGATTTACCTAATCCGTACTCTTTCCTCAAGAATCTCCTTCCATTGGGTGGAAATATGGTTTGCACATCCGAAATGAAGAATTGTGACGTATTTAACGCAATTTTTGAAGCCCTCCACGAGCAGCTCGTATCTCTTGGTTACGCACTCCTTCGTCCGCCAGTTATTTATGGGAAGGACTTCGTGCGACTGACATAATACCGTGCAGAGGTGATAACAGGATGCGGTACAACGACACTAAACTGACTCTCAAGTGAAATCAGAACATTTCCTATCCAACGACAACTTTCCTTATTCCTTGAAAGAGGACAGTGCATGGACATTGTTATGGACATTGCAAGTAGACCAAATAAAGTCCACAAACAGAAACGACCACGAAAGGGAACCTTTTCAAACCAGGCAAACGTCCAAGTTATGGGCACTAATCCATAAATAAATACAGAAACGGGATTGGGTAGCACAGTAGTAGCGGTCCTGCTTATTATACGGATGTCTCTAGCCCCAGGCGCTGGTTCGCCCCATCCCTGGCTCATTTGGCCTCTTAATCCTCTAGGTCTGATCTGAAAAATGGTGCCTCACTAACACGGCCTTTTCTCAATTCCAGGAAGAATCGACCAGCACTCAGCGTCGTTCGGGAAGAAGATGAAGAAGATGGAACAAAATCCTCAAGCAGCAGCCAAAGCGAAGCACAAAAAAAGTTCGAAGACCTTCGTGAATGGTGGATTCGACGAAACGAATCGAATGCAGGAGATGATGCGATCCGTGCAGTGTGATAGATGTGATGTCCGATTATGTAACAAATAAAACGATAAAAAGGATAAAACTCACTGCGTTGATGAAACCCTGAGGGATGCGCCATGCATTCAACTTCATTAAGCATCGTTGGAGGTGACTAAATGCAAATCTGGCCTATACAATAACCCACAGTGGCCTAGCGATGTATCGATCCAGTGCTGGTATCCTCCCAGACAAATCTGCAACCAATATGCCGATCCCGAAGGGATGGATGGCCTCATGAGACCTGGACGCGGGGATCGATCCGACGTGTATTGTAAGGTGTCTCTGACCACTGCGCTACACTCTTTCTTGTAATAAGTAAAAGGAAAAATAAATAAACAAACAGACAGCAGATATTCTGAGACGAAGCGAGCCTGTTTTGAAGATTATATGCCCCCACAGGGGAGAGGTGGTCACCGATGGATCGCGGTGGGGCCTCGGATACTCCGCCTCTCAATCGCAACAGTGGCGCGTTATTTATTTTACTAAAACGCAACTCGCTGACGTGTTGTGTACTCGAGATTTTGTGGTGCCTTACTTTCTCTCCTCAATCAGTTTATGGTCCGTTTGTGGAGAAAAAGATAGTATGAGTTTAATCAAAACAGGTAAGCCACAACAATAATTGTTTGCTACCGTTGCCAGTTTTTCTCGTGCATAATGGACGACGACTATATTCACAATTCTTTTAATACATGGTTAATAAACTATGATCTTCTCCTCATAGCTATAAGCCATCTACATTATATTGAGAGTACTTTTAGCTGCAATGATGCTGTGATGTTTGCAGAACTCTGGACCGTTCGTGTCTGTGGTGCAGATCGAACCCGACATTAACCTTTACGGGGCTAATGTGTTCACCACTACACCATGCGGGTCCCTCGTTTCGCCTTTCTCTCAGCAGTGTTTAATCTAGTCGAACTATTTAACTGAACTTTTGGCCCTATTTATAGGCGATTTTTTACGATTTCATGGTTATGGATTGTCTTTTGTGCTTGTGGTATATCTGTGAAGCACTAATTTGGAAATAACTTAACTATTCTTTCCTTTATATTACTTGTTTTCTGTAAAATCCATTGATAGACAGGTCATGATACTAAGCATTAGTTTTTTGTTTGGTGTTTTATAAAGGCTTTTCTTTCTAAGAGAACGCTCGTTGATGTTTCAGTATCATATAAGGGATACATATCCTGATTTCGAAAGAGCTACACTAACTAATAAATCGACGGCTAAGTTCGCACTAACGTTTTTAGAACTTGGGATGGGACGAAGTGGGTTTCCACCCAGCGGGGAGAGTTGAAGTCATTTCTTTTCATAACTCTTCGGCACGAAGCTGTTTCCTTAATAATTCGGAAGGTCTGATGCCATTTGCTCTTTTCTTTACCCGTTTTTTTCTCCTATTCCACTTATGTCAACTACGAATTTCTCTTTAAACGTCTTTGAAAACGACAAAGTTGGTATTTCTCGGATTCGACGTCGTATTTTTAGGCTCTTGTTTAGAATGTTAGCATCCTGTGTGAATGAAGCAACCGGCTTTGTTAGGTGTTTCATAATGTTTTTTAGGTGGACGTTAGTCGTTCCTGTCTTAATGAGAGTTGTACAAGCTCTGCTATCACTTCTGGCGGGTGTAACGACGGCTTTGGAGTTGGATCTGACAGTTGATATACCGCCTGGTAAATTCCAGTGCTTCTTCCAGCCTGTTGATGTTAACAAACATAAGACGATGGAAATTGATTACCAGGTATGGGATGTGTATGAGTAACAACTTCTGACCCTCTACCTTCGACTTTATAGGTTGTAGACGGTGGTGACCTCAATATTAACTTTGTTCTTCTATTGGAATCTAATAAGTTATATGAGGATATTTTGAAGACTGATGGTACTCACAGGTATGATTTATAAATATATAGACGGGTATTAACTTTTTTCACTTACTGCCTATTACAATTTTCACGGCAGGGTATTATTGCGAAAGCAATCACAACGATGCTGAGGTATTTGCAAAACTTTGCAGTCGGCAGGTGTCTTCGGTGGGGATCGAACACGCTATTGACCTTTCCGGGGGCTAATCCGTTCACCACCACACTATGCGTGTCCTTCGTTTCTCCTTTCTCTCAGCTAGTTTTCAATCTACCAGTGTCATCAGCAATCACCCATTACTAGGCTCATTGTCAATTTTGACTCCCCAGATCAATCCCATTGACGGGTGGCCGCTGATGGCACTGGTAGACAGAAAACTAGTTAAGAGAAAGACGAAACGAACGTCGTGCATGGTGTGGTGGTGAACACGTTAGACCCCTGAAAAGGCAATAAAGGCGTGTTCGATCCCCATCACAGACACTTGCCGATCGGAGTTTTGCAAATATTTCAGCATCATCATGGTTGATTTCGTATATTGACAGAGTCTTTTTACCATATCATGTAGAAATAAGTACTTTCAGAGTCAATCTTCAAGTAGGGGGAGACTATCAAATTTGCTTCGACAATAGCTTTAGTTACCAATCTCGCAAGGTACCAACAGTTTTTATGTCGTTTGCTTAAGATATTTTGCACTGGATTTGTTCCGTTGGGCCTCCTACTAATCCATAAGATAGATCTATGTCTGGCTGCCTTACTAGCCTTAATGGGACCTAAGTGTGGTAGTGCACATCAGTCATCGATCATCTTCGATATCTCTTATATAAAGATGAAGGGTACTCTACGAATTTAGTGGATGGCTTCCTTGATTTTTCGGACACCATCGCACTCCCGTTTAGAGCGGTGATTAGAGGCACCCTGCAGTACATATGAGATCGATCCCTCACGTAGGGCCATAAAACCCTTCGTCTTTCTGGCAGCATCAGCAAACTGGTTCCAGACTTTTCTGGGAGGATAGCAGTAGTTGCTCAACACATCGGCATGCCACCGCGAGTCATTGTAAAGGCCAAATATGCATTCAGTCGCTCCTAACGTTGCTTAATTAAGTCGAATGTATGGCGCATCCCTCAGGGATCGATCAGTATCCAGAGCTTTATCCCTTATCGTCTTTATCCCACTTGCTGCTCTTATTTTGATGTGTTGAAGTATGAACCTAAAACTTTTGGTTTTATATTTCTTTTACTCTATTTTAGTTCACATTTGCCTCAGCCCTGTACCAAATTTTTGGAAGAATCCGTTAAAAGTGTGTTGTTGTTGCAACATTTTGTATAGGCGCTTCTTTATTTTATTCAGTATGCAGTTAGAATGGCACTACCAAATTCAGATTGTTTTCTTCGAAATTTTCTTACTGGATGAAAAGGGAGAAGCTGATGAACGAGATGTGTTGAAAGTAGGAGTAGGAGATGGCAATGCTAATTTGGAAACACTAGGTATTCCAATTGCAGGATTCTTCGTAAGTATCTTACTTCTGCATTTTAATGACACTGCACTTACAATATAAGCCTCGACCATGGTTTCTTCAGGACGCTACCAATCGTATAAAATCACAACTCAATAAAGTCGAGTACTACCAGGTACGTTTTAGGTCTATTGGTATAAATCTTAACTTTTTATTTGCTGCTTACTACAGTTTTTTAAAGCAGGGAATTATGCGCAATACAACCACAATGATGCTGAGATATTTGCAAAACTCCGGACCGCAGGTTTCTGCGGTGGGAAACGAACGCGCTATTACGCGGGTCATCGTTTTGTATGTCTCTCTGCGTTTTCTATCATGGGTACCAGCAATCACCCGTCAACGGGATTGACCTGGGAAACACAAATCGGTGTTAAACCTAAATAAGCTGAGGCTGAAGTTGAAATCACGATGTTAACTTTTTAGTTGCTGCCTATTGCAATTTTTCACGGCAGGGTACTATGTGAAATACAACCTAACGATGCTGAGATATTTGCAAAACTTCGGACCGCAGGTTTCTGCGGTGGGAAACGAACGCGCTATTACGCGGGTCATCGTTTTGTATGTCTCTCTGCGTTTTCTATCATGGGTACCAGCAATCACCCGTCAACGGGATTGACCTGGGAAACACAAATCGGTGTTAAACCTAAATAAGCTGAGGCTGAAGTTGAAATCACAATGTTAACTTTTTAGTTGCTGCCTATTGCAATTTTTCACGGCAGGGTACTATGTGAAATACAACCTAACGATGCTGAGATATTTGCAAAACTTCGGACCGCAGGTTTCTGCGGTGGGAAACGAACGCGCTATTACGCGGGTCATCGTTTTGTATGTCTCTCTGCGTTTTCTATCATGGGTACCAGCAATCACCCGTCAACGGGATTGATCTGGGAAACACAAATCGGTGTTAAACCTAAATAAGCTGAGGCTGAAGTTGAAATCACAATGTTAACTTTTTAGTTACTGCCTATTGCAATTTTTCACGGCAGGGTACTATGTGAAATACAACCTAACGATGCTGAGATGTTTGCAAAACTCCGGACCGCAGGTGTCTGCTGTGGGGAATGAACGCGCTTTTACCCTTTTCGGGGGCTAACGCGTTCACCACCACACCAAGCGGCTTCTTCGTTTCGCGTGTCTTTCAGCGTTTTCTGTCTACCTGTATCTACTTGGAAATATCTCAGTATCATTATGGTTCTATTGGTGTACTTAAAAGGTGGTCTCATGTAACATGTGAAGTGTCTTCAATGTTTTGTGGTGATTTGCCCTAACCTTAAACAGTATGGAAGATGGTATTATACACAAATTTGAAACCAATGATTCCTTCAGGCTGTTCTACGAGCTCACGAAGCTCGTGACCGTGCTGTAATGACAGCGAATTTCGATCGCGTCACTCTTTGGAGTTGTATACACACTATTGTGATGATTTCGGTTGGTGTATTACAGGTGTGTCTTCCATTTTGCACAATAATTTTCTGTCAGGACATAGGCCATGGAGATCTTTTTTCTTTTTCAGGTGTTTTTGTTGAGAAGTTTATTTGAAGACAACTCTAAAGTTGGAAGTCTTTTGAGGAAGGGTAAAATAGGGTATAGATTTTAGAGTTGCCATATTTATTAAGAATGTTCTTCGAGCTTTTTCATCAATATTATTAAAGCATCTTGTTCATAATGACAGCATAATTCTACCTTTCGATCCTCGCAGTTTTCTGGTCATAATCTGTGTTTTTTTTCTTTTGTTGTATTACCTTTTGACTACTGCGATTAAAGACTCTGTGCCTTTTCAGAAAAAAAATAAATGCATATTTTATCTATTACATTTTAGACCTTAAACGACCCGTCCTTCGCATGTACTCTGCGGATTTCAGCACTTCTTGCATTCGATTGGTTTCCTCGCATTGGTCATCCACGAAGGTTTTCGAAATCTATGTTTATGGGTTCGGCTGTTGTTGAGGATTCTTTTTTCGTCGTGAATGTCATTGAGTGCTAGCCGAGTCGAACCTCCCTAGAGTCCTGGAAAAGCCGAGCTAGAGCGTTCCTACTTTGATTCCAGAGAGTAAAACTTTCACCACTCGTCCCCATTTCCTAGTTTCTACATATAAGATGCACTGCATGGACATAGCATTTTCGAACTCTTTATATCAATCCTTTCTCTCCAAATGGCTCACTACGCCACAGTAGCCAAAAGTGCTTCTGGATGGCAAGCTACGATGCAATTCAGTTATTTTGGAAATGTGCCGCATTCTTATGTCGAGTGCTAGTGAGCATAAATCCTTGAAGTACGAAGTATACCCATCTTCTCATACATTATTCTGTTATACTGATGTTATGCCATCATCGACTAATTATCCAAGGGGCAACTGCGGTCTCGAAAGAATTTTGGTTGTAAAATTCATTGGCACGAATACTGAATACTTAATACTGTTTTAATATATTTGTTTATGTGATCTTATAAACTGATCTTATAAATTGATCTTCTTAAACTGACGCGAGGTTGGTACAGGTCCTCGTTGTCGTTGTCGTTGTCGTTGTTTTTGATGTTATTGATCGATGACTAACGTTTCGGCGACTTCGCCTTCCTCAGAGCAAGTCACACACGTAACATACACGCAGACAATACACGAACACGCAAACAGTCTGTCCTAACATTTGTTGTTCCCGTAGCACATCGCTCATTAGCCTTGTCGTCTTGAAACCACCATCCGTTGACGCGGTTGACTTGGTGAGAATGCACGATTGATACTTTCGAATCTGTTGTACTCTCAGCTCACTGACGCGCTTAGCGCTCAGTTTTTATCAAATTCCCAAGAAGTTGTAATGTTTTCGGTTTTGCTAGAAAGTTATTGCAGGCAGAACATCTGCAATCTTGTATCAAAGCAGTCTCTTAATAACTCGAAACACCGACTTTCATAAATCTCGGCATGGATAGTTGATATATTTATTTATGTGATCTTATAAACTGATCTTCTTAAGCTGACAAGTTTAAGTTCAGTTAAGCTGTACAAATACGAACAGTATTAGCGCTTTCCATAAAGTCCGTTGTCCATCCGACCAGTGCTGAACATGGATTTCTGAAGGCAAAATAACAGTACGTTTTCAAGTATAGTTTAGTATTGCTATTGCTTAAGTGACGTGGTCGTTCTGTGGACGTCCTTTGCACCATCGTAGAGTAGTTCTATATATGTAAATATGTCACCTGTCGTCCCATTGATCATCGAGTAACTCGAGCGAGCGCCAGTTAATCTTGCATTTTTCTCTGTCGCATGCAAGAGTAGCCCAATGGGTTCCGCTCATTATTGGGATTCGTTGACTTTCACACCTTTCTTCTAGGGTTTTCGTGAAGAACTCTGACCATCGAGTTGGTGGTCTTCCTGCAGTGCGCTTAACATCCCGAGGAATCCAGTCACTAACGGCTCTTGTCCATCGGTTGTCATTCATACGCATTACGTGTCCGGTCCACCTTAACTTCGACTGTTTGGCGTACAGAACGGCATCTTCGATTTTTGATCGTTGACGCAGGTCGGAGCTTCAGATCCCATCCCTTGTGTGGAACGGGATACTCCTAGCATCGTCCCTTCGACTGCGCGTTCGATAACGCTGAGTGACCTTTCGTCCTGCTTACGCAGCGATCAGGTTTCTGACGCATACGTTAAGGCAGGAAGTGCTGCTGAGTTGAAAAGGTGGGCACGGAGTCGAGAGTTCTTTGTTCTTTTCACTACATCCTCGATGCTCTTGAAAGCTCTCCAAGCCGCTCGTTTCCTTCTGCTCAGCTGTGGAGCTGAGTCGTTCATCATATTGATTTCACGACCTAGATAGATATAACTGGAGCATTCGGAGATATTAATTCCGTTGAGCATGAATGGCGCATACATAAGCAATCCGTTGCACATGAACATGGTTTTTGTGAGATTTAGTCGGAGATCAATCTTTCCAAACGCTTTATTGAAGACGACAAGCATTCGTTCCGCTTGACTAATGTTTGATATTATAACGACGACGTCATCAGCAAAGCCAAGATGGTGTAACTGCTTACCATCGATTTTTACTCACATATTATCCCATTTCAATGTTCGCATGACGTTCTGGAAGGTTGCGGTAAACAATTTTGGCGAGATGGTATCGCCTTGCCTAACCTCTCTTTTGATGTAGATGCTAATATTGCTGAAGAATTGTGATATTCTGGTTGCGAAATCCTTGTGCAACTCATGAAGAATCTTTATATGCTGAGTTGGAACTCCCTGATTATCAAGGGCTTCCATGACTGCCTCTGTCTCAATTGAATCAAAGTCCTTCTTTAAATCGATGAAAGTGAGATAGAGCGGTCTTTTGTACTCTTGGGATACTTCAATGAGCTGTGTTACCATGTGGATGTGGTCCATCCTACTAAATCGTTTTCGAAACCCTGCTTGTTCACATGGCTGCCATTCGTTCAGTGTTCCGTCAATCCTGTTTAGGATGACTCGAGTAGAAAGTTTGTAGACGGCAAACATCAAGCAGATTGGGTGATATATCGTAGAGGTCACCCTTCTTGAAGAATAGCACAGGCTGGTCTTCTACTGAGTAGGGACCTTGCATTCAGACTGATAAGGTGTGAGGAGCCCAGCCAGTGTGTCTACAAGGACTGGGGGAAGGTTCTTCAGGTGTTAAGATCTTATCCTTTTCCGACTTGGTGCTGTTCGATTTTTCACCGACGAAATGGCATGTCGTATTTCGAAAGGGGAAGTGGTGGTACTACGTATCCACACTCCTTTATTTGGTATGACGGCAGAAGGACGTCGCTATTGAAGAGATCTGACTAGTAATCGTAAATGATTTTCTCCATTGCCTTTCTGGATGCTGTAACTGTCCTGTCTGAGCGTCAGAGTGCAACCATCTTAGTTTTGTATTTAGCGAAGCTTCGGTGGGCTTTACGAATGCTTTTCCCAGCCTCTGCAGCTTTGGCCATTACTGCTGCTCTTCTCTGCCTAAGATCTTTTATCATCTATTTGCATTGTTTTTCAAGCTCTCATGTTAGTTCGCGGCAGCCTGCAACTCGTCAGATTCCACACTGGCGTATCAGCTCGAGTGTTTCTGAAAACAGACGTCTTTCGGTTACTTTCGAACTCTCAGCTTTTATATCTCTAACGTGAAGATGTTGAATGAGCCGATCATATTCTTCGTCGATGTTATCGACAACGGCATCTTCCCAACAGCCTACCAATTAATTCCCGGTTTGTGGTGGTTCTGGTACTTCGGTTTTTGAATTTAGCGGCTTTTTCTCCTTTCCGCGAGAAATAGAATGTTGCACGAACGAAACGATGGTCTGATCCCGTGTACAATTTTGGGACAACAGCGGCATCGGTTGGGCAAGACCTTCTATTTCCTATGATGTGGTCTATTTCGTTATGGTACTCTCCAGTGGGAGACTTCTGGGAGAGAGGGGCTTCTGAAATTGCGAGTTACCATGGATGGTCTTGGTCGTAATGATAAACTCAGAGGGCCAGCCGCTCACCCTGCTCGTTCCATTCTAATCCGTGGGTCCCAATGTGACGTTCTTCAGACATTCTTCTTGGTCAAATCTTGGCGTTAAGTCTCCAAGTCCATATAGAACGATGAAGATTGTCAAAGCCGGTATTGATCCACATCTCTCCAATCGTAAACGTCCGATTCAGGTGGTTAGTTGTTCGCACGAATTGATGTTCATGGACAAACTCGTGTTGACGAAAACGCCGACGCCACCGACTCCCCCTCCACTGTTGCATGTTCTGGGGATGAGTTGTTCTGCGGTGTCATAGATGACGATAAATGGTCGGCGTTTTCTAGTCTGAGCCAGTCCAATGATGTCGTATCTTATTCTTCTTCCCTGCATGAACTTCTGCCGATGACTCAGATGCAAGTGTGCGTGCGTTGTACACACAGATCGTCAGTTTATTCCTCTGCGACTTAAACAGCCTAAAATTGCCCTCAGATTTTACCACCATCTTCGTACTCGTCCAACCGAATGCTCCCATATCGGGAGCTGTCGTGGTCAGAGGAATGAGGAGCGTTTATTTTATCGTGTTTAACTTTTTCACATGCACGCATAGCTTGCTGATCTGTGAACGTGAGGGGCTGGGTATACTCATGGGTAGCTTCCCAATTTCTCCCAGAGTAGACAGTGGAGCTTATTTGTTGAATATGATGCCTAACCGATCCCCAAGTGCTCCCGCTCACTTAATTCCAGCTTTTTAGGCGAACTGGCTCGTAGAATGCAATCCGCACAAATGAGAGTAAACCTACGCATGCATGAATGAATACGTCCTCGTAAATACAGGTGTGTGCCAAACCGGAGTAGCAGAAATAGGGAGTCCATCTCCTGGATCCATCCGCGTCTCAGGGAAGCAAGGTCGTTTCCGGTCGCCTCGCGTCTAACCGGCTCGAGATTCCTCATACGAAGCAGTTCCGTGGATATATATATATATATATATATATATATATATATATAGTGAAAGTTACATATAATATGGTGTGTTTCTACAGTGTGCGACCAATTTAGCATCTTGGCGAAATCCTTTATTTTCATGTATTCTTATAATAGGTTGTGACATTTGAATGCCCGACTTTATTGTTTCAATTTTCCGTGTAATTTTTTGAACATAAATTTTGTTCCTTATGTTTGATATGTGACGCATAAGGCATAAGGGCGCGTGTGGCGCAGTGGTTGGAGGCGACACACACGAAACGAATCGATTCCCGCGCCCATGGTCCAGCAAGCCTTCCATCCCTCCAGGGTCGGCAGATTTGTACCAGACTGGTCTGGGACGATAACAGCACTGGCTCGACGCATCGGTAGGCCACTGCGAGTCATTGTAAAGGCCAGATATGCATTCAGTCACCCGCAACGATGCTTAATGATATCGAATGCCAGAGATAGGGCCTAAAATTATGGTTACCGAGGAGGCACTTCGTACTCTGGTCGAATCAAATCCACCTGAAACGGTCCTAAAACTTGCGACAGTGTTTGGAGTCAGTGCTATGACCATTTCACTTCAGTTACAGTTGATTCGTAAAGTTTAAAAAGTGGACAAATAGGTTCCACACGAACAAGGAAGAGCAAAAAATCTCAACGTCTGATAATTTGCAATTCGCTTCTGATTCGCAACGATAGATCTACTTTTGGATCGCATTATAACTTGCCATGAAAAGCGGATACTGCACGATAATGGTCGCCGTTCTACACAGCCGTTGGTTGGCCAGACGCCGATGAGAACCCACGACATATGTCCAAACCGAGTCTGCATCCAAAGAAGACAATGGTTTCCGTTTGGTGGGTCAGTGGCCGGTATAATTCAGTTCAAATTGTTACTACCTGGCGAAACTGCTACTTTAAAGAAATATTGTGCTGAAGTCGAAGATGCATCAAAAACTACACGTCAATCAGCCGGCGTTGGTCAATAGAAAAGGACTAGTACTGTTTCACTACAACGCAAGATCGCACGTTTCCCAAATGGCATTAAGAAAGCTGAATGAAGTCCACTACGAAACTTTACCAGATCTGCCCTACCTACCAGATTTGTCGCCAAGGATTTTCACTTTTTTTAAACATCTGCAGCACTTTCTGACGGAAAAAATTTTCAACGACCAAGCAACTGTTGAAAATGCCTTTAAGGAATTCATCGACACTAGAACTGCCAGTTTTTACATTAATGGAATCATAGAACTTGTTTCTTGTTGGGAAAAATGTGCTGATTCTGTGCCTATTTCGATTAATAAAAACTATGGAAAAGCTATTGTTATTTAAAGTTTACATTTAAAATAGGACATTTCATATGTTACAACCTAATACTATCTATATTTGTATTTCCGCTTTGTATATGCTTGTACTTGTTTACTATCGTGCTGCTAGATTTATAGTTCTATAATAATGAACCACTTGACCACTCTACTAGACCAGATCTAACGTTTCTGGTGACACAGGTGCCATTGGTACCGGAACAAAACTATATATGCACTATGAGGATTGTATCTTGCTATGTAAAGTCTACGTTGATCCCCACGCTCTCTTAGAGGGCAAAAATTCCCGTGTTCATTCTATACAAGAACACTGAAATACGCCACTCAATTGAAGGAACCATTAATATCCGCGGTCAGCAAACCACAGCATAAAGGACCTGAAAGCTACGTCGACCATGCTCGTTTACAAACCAAGGATTTTGAATAGCACCTCCACAGATACGTAGATCTCCGGTGCTGTGGAAAAGAGAACCGAATCTAGATGCCAGTAGAACACAATTAAAAAGGGCTAAGAATAAGTAGCAAATCAGCTGGCTCCTTGAATAAGGATTCATACAGATAAATAGGCATGGCAAAAAAAAGACAACTTGGAAGCAGATTAGAAAGAACCGCTCAAAAGAAATGCTGCAGGGACTTAAGCGAACATTACATGTTTCGGTATCGAACATCAATACCTCCGCTGGCACGAAATACAACAAAATTTGCACCTTAAGCCCTATTTACGCTCAAAACCACTAACCCAGAGTCTTGGAATCAATGACTTCCTGCAAACTGTTTTCGATCTCATCTTAATCGTCCGGTTGTTTTCTTACCGATTTCAATGTTTGAATATGAAAAGCAGTTGGGGCGATCTCTGTTGAGCCTGAGCCATGATTCTTCCACTGAACACTGTTTTTGTGGCACTTGTACCACTTTCCATAGCAGAAGATATACACAGTCAATTCCGTTGCACTTGGCGTGCACTTAGACATGGAAAAACTCTAGTTTTTCGTCAACAGGAAATCATTTTGTAAACGGATCCAACTGCAAGGAATGTGTTTTTCATTAAACGTTAAGAAAAGAACCATACTCACCCAGTCCACTCCCTGTCTTCCACCAATTTATCCCGAACTCGACACTTCCGCACTGCCCTCTGCACCATTTGTTCAGTTTCTGCACCAGGCTTTGCTCACTTCTACAGCTGCTTATGTGCACCTTTTTGCAAACCAACAATAACCATAAATACGTGCGCTTTTTTGCAGATGTTTCTAATCAAACGTTTATTAAAGTGCTTATGTCTCTGTCAATCCTTTTTCGCATTATGACGGACCGGAAGTATTTATCGATTTAATCCGCCAATTGTTACAGAACAGTTCCTTTCAATGAATCTTTTGAGGCTCAACTAACTCCAAACCTTGGTGAAAAAATCAACAATAAACATGTGTAATGGATTATTTTGTTTCCGAATTTTGTCAGAAATACTTTTAGATACTCAACAAAACAATAACCCTAACAACAGATACTTCCCGTGTTCGACAGACAGCGCAGCTGGAAGAGGAATATTCTTGGAAAACTGTGCCCCAAAGTATTTTTTTTCTGTCATCCAAAAGGTTCTGTGACTTGGTTATGTCACTTCATCATCTTCTAACTACGCCACCGACTTCGAAGTTTGGATCATCTGAAGAAAATAGAATCAGCGAATCCGCTATTGGGTGTGGAAATCACCGTACCTCTGGAGCATCTCCACCATTACTAGGAGCATGCTCGCTCAATGTGTCTGTAGTCATGTCACTAACTACATTAGAACTAACATGAGCGACACCATCAGTAGTTTCGTCTAGCGCTTGATTAGCCTGAAAGGTTTTTTTTCTGTAGAATAGTAACTGACTGCCTCTTGTTCTACTAAAATCTTCAACGACTAAATAAAATGCTGCTGTACCTCATCGACCTTGGCGCACGCCATTGTTAGAAATGAGTTACTTGGAGCGCTTTCGCTTTCAGGATCAACGGAGAAATTGTGCCTTGGTAGATCTGCAAGCCACTGTAGCATACTGAACACAACATCTTTAAGAAAAGAGTATCGCTTTTTTGAGCTTTTGAATCTAGAAAGAATCATACTCACGACATGTTTTGTAACTCTGATAGTAAAATCTCCTTAGTGATAAGATCGAATTTCAAGCCATCAATACGAGCCTCTACAGCACTTCCCCAGTCCGTGAGTGGTTCATGTGTTTTTGCATGTCTACAAAAACAATAAACCAAAGGCTTATAAATTTTATTTTATATATGATATAAAAACAGGAATTGTACTTTGCATTGACATCCAAATGGGATCGATCCCGTGTTCTCCCATCAAGCCTACCATCCCTCCGGTGTCGGTGACTTGGTACCAGACGTATCTGAGAGGAAAGATCAGCATTCGCTCGATACATCGGTAAGCCACCGCGAGTAACTGTGTAGGCGTGGTATGCATTAAGCGACCTTTAACGATCCATAATGAAGTGCATGGCGCATGCTTCGAGGATTGGTCAACGCCGAGAGCTTTGTCTTTTCATTTATTGACATCTACCTAGTTCCACTGATCTCACTAGGTAACCAGCTAATGTGGAAGTAACGGACGGGCAATTTTAGGCCTTAAGCTATCATGTACTTATCATGAGAAGTAGACAGACTAAGAGAATGTGCTTTATGCCAATCTCTGCAACGCCGAGTTAACTTCTTCCTTCCACAAACAGTAGTCTGCTTGTGTACACCTGGTTGCGCATGTTAGATTGTGTTTTTGACGTTCGTTTGACTCTAAAATGAATTAACTGGGAAATGGAAGCAGAAGTAGTGCGGTTCGCAATCGCCGCCAGCGCATAGGCTACACATCTGCTTTGACAGAATCCAGCATGTGATACTTCTTCGAAGACGGTGAAAAGGGCTATTGGTACGAAAAGTATAATTGTATTGTGAAATATAACCCGTATGAAGTGCTGAGATATTTGCAAAACTTTTTTTTCGGAGTTTTGCAAATATCTCAGCACTTCATACGGGTTATATTTCACAACATACCCTGCCATTAAGAAGAAAAAGGCAGTAAATAAAAGAGTTAAGATTATAATTGTATTATTCTCTTGATGTCCCTCGACCGTGCAGAGTCCATTGGAAAGCTCTGTCACACGATAAGAAGGAGCACTTTGCTGGCACCTTTGGCGTCAAAAGATGACTATTTAAATAGAATTAGAGTGATACATACCTCCTATCATATGCATCATAGTGAACTCGTTCCAGCAGTAGACCGAGTCCTGGAGCTTTCGGAACGTCCACCTGGAACTTATATGATGCATGTATAAGGAGGCTTAATTCAGAGATTTACTTAAAGCCTATAAATTTATCCGATATGCGCCAAGACATTTGTTTCATTTACAAAAATTACTTAGGCTATGGATATACATATGGCTTCATAATAACCGAAAGGTGAATGTCGTTTGCCGTTCACAGCGAACTACACAGCTTCCAGGTAGGGACAAAGAATTATGTACCTCGATGGAAATAGTATGAAAATGAGTTTAACGTCAAAAGCAAGAAAAAGAACACCAACTGTAATCGAAGAATAGCAGTACATAAAACGGTTGAAGGCTCACCCGTTCACTTTCGAAGGTCCTCTGAATGTAGCTCTTATACTGCAACTCTCGAACTACAGTAATGACCATACCTGCAACACCTCTGCTTATTCCGTAACTGATGTTGGACTAAGTTATGGCGTCAGAGCACCTCCGAAAACAAAAGATAGATACTTCGAAGATATTTTTATCTCAGAGAAGGACATGGTTGATAGGAAGAGAAAATCGGTGCTAAATAGTGAAAGCCACAAACCAAGAGAAGAAAAGAGCACTCACCCACCATTTTTCGGATTTGATGCAACATGAAGCTTTGTCCTTTGACAGTAAGTTGAATGAACTCAACATCTTCGTTACGAATATCATCATGAAACAAGAAGGGCTCGCCACATTCAAATGACAGTATGTAGCGATAACAACTGCGATCATCAAACTCTCTGAACATGCAGTAATATGAATGTTGAGAAAGGCACAATTAGAACAAATCTGTCAAAAACATGCCTCCTTGAAGTATAGTTGAAGAAGTTGTGGGTGCCTTTATATATGCTCAAAAGGGATTTTATCTCGTCAATAGTTTCCTTAGTAATTCGGAACGCTGAATTTGTAAGCTGAAAAGCACTAACTAAGACTATAAATGCCCCAGAGAATCAAATATATGGAAAGATTTGATATGATTTGATGGAAAGCGAAAAAGGAAAAGGGACGTGTATAGCACAGTGATCGGAAGGACCCTGCGATAGACATGGGATCGATCCCTTTTCCCTTTCCCCAGCCACACCAAGCCTCCCATCCCTCCGGGGTCGGCAAATTTGTACCAGATTTGTCTGGCACGATAACAGCACTGGTTGGACGCATCAGTATGCCACTGTGGGTAATTGCAAAGACCAGATAAGCATTCAAACACCCCCCACGATGCTTATTGAAATCGAATGCACGGCGCATCCCCCAGGGACTGGTCGACACAGAAAGCTTTATGCTTTTTATTTATTATGAAAAGATAACATTTGAAGTCGCATGGTAGCAAATCTCGCTCTGATCCACAAGGACTGCGACTGCTCGTGGTGGTGAACACCCAGGGCAGACTTTGGAAAGGCTGACCTCGGTATTTCAGGGAACCACAATGGCTTAACCAGCAAATCTCCAAAAAATGGTGATTATGCTGGGGCCCGCACAACTAGTGAGGGACGGGCTGTTGGGCTGTTCAAGTATCAATTATCAAGTAACATGTGAAGTAGTAAGATTCTGAGGCAAACCTCTGTCGGTTTTGCAAATGCGAAAGTAGGCAAAGTGTAGCTGTATGTTCGAGCACAGCACATTTTTTGTGGATGGAAAGAGTTTGTTGCCCGACGAATGGCTGAAAACATGAGGAATGAGCTCGTTATTACAAGTCTATAGAACCTGACCAATAATGATACCGTGAAAAGCACCTATAACACGAATATCCTTTGGAAGCAAAGCATTTAGTTGAGACGCACCAGTAACTGAGTATTCGTCATCCCTAGGAAGCTCCATACTGCAAATCTAGAAAATGTACAATACAAACACAAAATATCCGAATGGTAAACCAGAACGGAAATTGTACTTAACCCCTTAGATATCTCATACCTGTCTAACAGCGGACACTGCTCTATCCGTACGAGCTGCTCGTTGCAAATGGAAAAGAGCTGGTTGATCGATCATCTGATCAGTAATCCATCCCAATTTATTCATGGCAGTGACCAGTTGGCTTTCAATGGTGGGATGTTCTTTTTGAATCTGCAAGAAGATTGGTAGGCGTTTTAAGTTTCAAAAACCGAAATCAAGCCCTACTTTATTCCGAAGATTAGAAAATTACATGAATCAATTAAAACTAAACCAGTGATTTACCTCACTGAGCAATCCGCGAATCCTTAGTTGGGAGCCTACGTGGCGGATCTTCACGTGGACGACAGAGCTATTACAACTGATTGAGATTCAATCACTGATATTCTTCACTGAGATCAGCATCCCATGGTCGCTCGATTACGAGACCACGTGGGAGATATCCCATGGACAACAAAAGTTGAAACGGTTACTTAAAGTAACTTCGAACTTGTCGAGACCCATGTGAATTCAGGAGAGCTCCTTGTTTCCGCTGTTCCGGATTAACATTTATCTCCAATGTGTACGTACGTATATTCAAAGTGAGTGGGTGTTTTGGCGTATATACGGATTTCATCCTATACGTCTATCCAGCCAAAAGAACGCAATCACCCTGAGTGGTAAGGGGATGAGTGGTGGTTCAGAGCTCAACAAAAGCTGAATGACTACTCCGAGAAAGAAAAACCTAGACAAGAAGCCATTTTGTAGTTTGAGTATGGAAAGCGATAATAGCTACAATAGATCTTAAGACCATTCTAAGCCACCTTACTACGGCAGAACTATGGTGAAGACCTTATCACGCACTCACGGTGGCAATGGAGTCCTCCAGTGAGGAGCTGATTGATTCAAACTAGGAAGACTGAGCGCGACTTTAGCAGGCTATACGAGACGGTGAGGCATTCTCCTTTAAACACTGTTTACGATATCCGAAAACTTTCATTCAGAATATGCGATAGTAAACGGTCTGCTGAGCACATCAGTCCTACGTGTTGGTTACTAATGTCGTTGGACTAAAACCAATCAGACGTTTGTAGCTGAAAACATGTAGATCAATGCTGCTTCGACAATTTTTGTCAAGAAGTAGGAATTCCATGAAAGAATGCCTGAATTTCTTTCACGGCTAGAAAAACTCGATTGAGAGTGGTCATAGTAGCTTCAGAGATATGACTCCTTTGCTTAATTCCAAAGATCCTTCATAAGACTACACAACTACAACCTCAACATTCAACAAGAAGAGAGCTTTAAGAATGCGATATCACCTGCCAAAAATTATTTACCGGCACTTTCGAGAACATTATTTGAGGACTGGAAAAAGACGACATAGGAGTAAAAGTGGGTCGACAGCAAGTACATCGTGTCCGCTTTAATAACATCATTCTTAAAACATTAGGTTACCCAGGCGTAGCCAATGCCTCTGAATGACTTTTCTGTATGTATTGGAATCGAAAAATCATCAAATGAACAACTTAGCTCTTGTGCTGGGAAGGAAAAGAGCTATCCAGAGGATGAAACTAAGCGTGTAATCTAACAAGTCGGTGAGAACGGGAAACCGAAGTTACGACCTACGGACACAGTCAGAGATAGAAAACGCAGTAGTAAATGTGATGAAAAGTTAAGTGAGCCGAACATGAGTATAATTTAAAGACAACCGCTAAATAATAACCGTAAATTGCTCGCCATCATGTTCTACATGACAAAGTGTCGAAGATAAGGCAAGCCGAACATGTAACGCATCTTAACGACAACCGATTAAGAACAGTGGCTTGCTACTGGATTCCTCAAGATATCAAACACACAGCAGAAAGACCACCACCGCGACGGCCAGAGTTCTTCACGAGAACCCTAGAAGAAAGAGATGCTTAAGGAGTCCCTAGAATGTGTAGGACCCACTGCGCTACTCTTCTTCGCTGCAGGGAGAAATGGAATATTTACTGGGTCTTCAGTCGACGATCAACGGGACGACAGATGATATAGGTGATCACAGAACGTCCAAAGCTAAACAGAAAGACAAATCACCAGATGTCAAAGTTCTTTAATATGCCAGAAAAAAATATGGTGATGTTCGAGCTCCTCGAGCGAATGAACCCACTATGTAAGCGTGATATGCAACAGGAACAAATGGAGACGTTGATGGTGTCGGCCCAAGTGACTTGACAATCAAATAAATGGAAGAGTTACATACGTATTTAAGACTCAGCGGTCGTGTTGCATTGGGCATTGAATGCGAAGAGCTTTGCATCCATACGCTATAGGAAGTAGAATTTGCAAGACTTACAAAATAAACCAAACAAGTGTAGTAAACATAGAGTGTGGGAAGATTAATTCTTGAAAAGGTGCTCTGGTCCGCTCCCACCTGCATTCCGAAGTAATCCTTTCCCTGATAAGCCAGTAACATAGCGTATCTCGCCCTTTTGATTCGGATCATAGTATCTTCAGCTTTATGGCTTTCAATTCCACCTGACTGCACTTTGTGAAGAACTGCTTCAGACTTGTTTTCAGCAACTTTAGCAGCTTTCGTCATTGTTGTCACCACCTTCTGAAGTAATCGTTTCAACATCTCTGCAAAGAAATTCAGACGGACAATGTGCTGTAGAGAAACTTGAGGCTAACAAACGTCACTATTAAGATAGAACCAAAACGAAAGAGCGAAATAAAATAACCGGAATAGGAAATGGGACCTGAGAATTGCGACAGTATCAAAAGTTTATGAACAATGAACTCAAGCCTTCGCAAGAGAAAGGATTCGGCGGAATTTCTCAAACTAACCGTAAACTGTAAAAGGTATAATCTTTGCACAGCTTTCAAAGCATGTTTATCGTATTGCTTTAAGAGTTTCATTACTGTGGAACAACACTATTTCCTTCTATCGTTTATTTACACATAGGGAATACTCTTTTTAATTACTATAGCCCAAAACTCCTAACAGTGTACCAGATCATTGTGGCTGGGTGGGGCTACGATGCACAACTAGTGGATCCATTGCCCCAACGGGGCCTGCTACGCTGAGGGGTCCGGCGTTTCCATCAGGAAGCCTTGACAGGAGTAAATCAATACCAAGATCCACCATCGTCGTGGTGTCAAACTATTCGCATAGCGGCAAATATCCCTCTGATCCACAAGAGTTGCGACTGCCACTGGTGTTAACGACCTGGGGCAGACTTTGACTAGGCTGACCTCGAGACTCCATAGAACCACAACGGCTAAGTCAGCAAAAAAAAAAGGGAGGGAGGGAGGGGGGGAGGAGGGGTGGCATAACCAGTGAAGACGGGCCATCCGAGTACCTACGTAATTATAGTCCAGAATTTGGATATATTACATGAGTTTCCATATAACTCAAATAACCAACTTATACAAGTTTTCGAGAGTTCCAGAACCAATTCCAGTGCCGATGAGCTTATTAATTAGTAGAAAATCGACCATATTTCTTAAAAATTCATTAATGTGGTACCATAAACCTGCTTACAGTTGAGATCTGACAAATAAAATTCGAAATTTAAACCTCAGGTTGCAGAAATTAAGCGCATTGATTAATACTCGTTCTTGAATCTGTAGTTCAAGAACAAGCGATGGGAAATGACCCTAAGCTAAAAAGAAATATGGTTGCATATCGAAAATATTTGTTTCGCTTTGAAATGAACTTCTACGGAAGAGAACGTGAAATTGAGATACTTGAGATACGAATAATACCTTAACATGTAAAATAATATTAATACCGTATACCAAATGGCTACATAAATCTGCATGAGATAAGGAATAGCATAAACAGCATTAAATAGCCTGGAATAGATGAGTTCAGCATTTACATATCCACGGAAAAAAGCCGCTATCTCCAACCTTATTTCCATAGGTCGATGAGGAATATCTCGGACGTTACGTATCGAACCCAATACACTGCGCACAGCGCAGAAATCGGTCCCGTCTATGTCATATTCATTAGAAATTAGGTGCCAACAGTACCCGCTACCTGCCTACACTCACTCCCTCAAAATCTTGGAGTCAGTTGCTACCTGAGATTCACGTGAATACCTACGGATCCTCAAACTTCGAGATAGCTGGTCTGATGATTCCCGCAGTTCCACCACACTTTCTAATGTTGTCCGTGAAATCTTGAAGAATATGCTATCCCTCATGAATACGAAATAGAAAAGCACTCTCCACTGCAATCGATTAGGTAATTAGATAGTCATCCCCTCCCACCCACAAAATTTTGGGATTGACAGCAGGACATGACTCCCAACCACAAATTTTGTGGTCTCTTTTATCCCACCAATTATGTAATATAATATGCAACGGATAAAAAACTAGGCGTTGTTCCATTTTGAAAGCTTAGCAGATCTCAGAGTTAAGTTGTAGCTAGGCTATTTTCAAAATCACCGTTACACCATGATTAAGCACAACGCTCCAGTAACTTCCCAGTACGACGAAACAAAAATTTTACACAAGTTTTGAAAGACTGTCTACATGGTACTCAGCACCTACTACATGTTTAAAAAAACAAAAAGAAAGTATTCATTCGCAATATCTACTTTAGCCTCCAATTATTCTCTACACTCGAAACGTTTATACAGAAGAGAAGACAGGACAAAACAGCAAGTCAGGAAAATACTACTAGAATTGTTAGGAAATGAGAGGAAGCTCAACTCAAATGGTATAAATAGGTGGCATCAGATGAAATGGTGCATAATGACAAAACGAATAGTTCTAGCTCGGGTGAACTCACAATTTACAATCACAGTTACGGTCATTTTTAAAATAGTTATGTGGGTCGTCTGCTTTCCTATTTAACTGCCACAGTCTCTGGTGTCTCAGCATCAAGTTGTTTTCCGAGGTATTCCCAGTTGTGAACCATGAGCTTTTGAACCGCAAGAAGGGCATGATAACGTACATTTGGATCCTCTGCCGTCAATAATCGCATCACCGCTTGTTTTCCTTGGTACTGCTCAATAACACTAAAAAGAGAGGCAGTATATTCCATGTTACGTAACAGTAATGTAGAATTGTAATTATGGGAATGTTGAACATGACACGTACAACAACGGATAAGAAAACTCTCGACGTTCATCAATCCTTGCGCAACGCGCTATGAATCCGACTTCATTAAACATCGTTAGAGGCGATTGAATGTATATCTGGCCTTTTCGCAATAACTCGTGGTGGCCCACCCATGTATCGAGTCAGTGCTGCTATCCTCCCAGACAAGTCTGGTACCAATTTGCCGACCCCGGCAGGACGGAAGGCTTGGTGAGCCATGGGCGCGGAGATCGATCTCGTGTGTATTGCAGACTGCCTCCGACCACTGTGCCACACGCGCTTTTAATAATAAGAACAGGTAAAGATTGCAAAAACCAGAATGAAGAACTAACGTTTTTCCTCTAGGATAATGCCGAACATATTCACCAACGTCATGAGCTGCAACACACAGTATTAAAGGATCGTGGCTGGTTTCCAGTAATCGGATAAGGATCCTAAAGACATCCTAGAATTACATCACAGAAAGTATTGCGAACTCTGCAAAAATAAACGTACTTAATCAACTCGAAATTTTTCTCATTAAAACGAGGAGCATTTTCGCGCCAGAACTTGTCAGACTTGTGCACCGGCGACCATTGAAGACGACCAGAACGAACCTTAAGTTAGGATTGGTATAAAAATTCAGCACAGTGGTCAGGCAAATATGAAACTGAACGGTTTAAACGATCGCTCAAGCCCTAACAAAAAGGTATGAAATGATCGAAATAACAAAAAGTAAGAGGCCAGCTCACTTCTCTGACCTCACCTCACTGCAGTACTCGTCAAATGAACTTAAATCTTGAACAGAGAGATGGAGCTGCTCGCTTAGAAATTCAATATCTTCCTGCAGAATAGAACTATTGAATAATTCTACTGGACATCACTCCAAGGATAGGAATGTCACCTCAAGCTCTGCATCATCGTATTTCTTCGCATCCATTAGCTCCAGTGTTTTGAGCGTCTTGCACTGCACCATTTGCAATGCAGCTTCTTTTTTAATTTCACGCTCATCAACCTTCTTTAAAATATTGCTGAAAGTCGCCATAATAATACGGATAACCTGAAAATAGCAACACTTACCAGCTACAAAACAACAAGTACTCGAGGAATGCATAAGTGTTAAGGAACTTGCCTTCTCTTTCGACGACTCTGAAAGAATATCTCCTAGTGCTTGTATAACTCCAAGTGCTGGAGCTCGACGAGCAATATTGGGGTTGAATGTAAGGCACCAAAGGGCGAAGACTAGTTGGTACTGAAGCTGGAAGTTTGTTTTACCGTTGAGAGCAGCCACAATTGACTGAATTCCTTCTGCTTCCATAAAAGCATGTCTGTAAAAATGGAAGCTGATTTGTTGCTGGTATTCGGTTCTTCGTATTATAAATAAATCAGGTGCACAACTCATATGCGACTAAAGGGATAGAATATAAATGTAATCCAGTTAAACGACCAGATGGGAAACCTGCGGGCAATGTAAATGTTCTACAACTAACTTCATGAATACTGATAACTAATACTAAGGACATCCTGCAAAGGATAGTCTTAAATCCTTCACAACTTCTCTTTAACCTAGCTTAGCCATAAGGAATTGCTAGAAATAGTTTCATGCAGTTCGAATTTTGGAAAGGACTTTGCAGGCAATCAATTCAATAAGAGGAAACAAGGAGGAAGGATTAGGTTCTCTAACAAGTCATGACCAACATGAATCCATTCAATGTCATACGTGGCTGAAAATTGCAGGTTTCAACGTTAAACAGCCATAACCTTGCTCGCATGACCCAACAACTCATATGCTTGCATACTAGCACTTTTTCAGTTAAGTTTTCTCTCTCGCAGCTACCATACACAGATGAAAAATGTTCTAAATTATGGTTTTAAAAAGTCTAAAACAGAAAAGAAGACTTTAAAAAACTGTACACAGTACAATGGGGTGGAGTTTTCCGATGTCTACTAAGTTCTCAATTCTTGAAGTAGTTCAGCTAAAAAGAAATCACCGTCAATCATTGAAAAACCAACTGTCATCAGTCTGTTGAGAACAAAATAACCCTTTAGAAAAATTGCAAAGTTCTCTAGATCGATAGGGTAAGGTCTCCGATGTGAACCAGTTAAGCAGTCAAGCATTCGTATAGCACAGTTAGCGAAAAAAGTACGTCATTTGTTAATAAAAAACACGAAGATCACCTGTAAGGGTCGATTCGGAGCATCATTTGCAGACAACGGGCAGTAGTATTCATATACTCGTTTGCCTAAATAAGAAAATGATAAAAAGAAAATGTATTAAAGAACTAAGTTGAGCGAATGAGGAAAATCACGACGTTGGAAACTAACCGTTGCGCTCTTCAGCTGGTCTTTCAGAAAAGAAAAATAATAGTTTAGTTCAGATCCTTCCATAAGAGTTGTTCCAAAGCACGCAAGCTTAGCGATGATAGAACTCATCTGAAATTTAGCCTAACAAACATAGGAAGAACAGGGGAAAAGCTTCTAAAAACATGGTACCAATCCTTGACTAACCTGATTGACAATAAAATTGTCCTGCCTTTGAAGAATTCCAAGAAACCACGACCATACTGTTCGTTTCTGCCTTTTAGCGGCATTGTGAAAAATCTCGACACGACTCTTGTCCTCCTAAACACCCATGTAACCAATAAAGACGTCAATAGCAGCGAAATTTTAATCCAATTTGAGAAGTGCCTTTAGGAAATGAGACAACTAATTACCAGATTGCTTGAAAAATTGTTTGATTCATATCTCCAGCTATTGACGTCTTAAATTTCTATACTAATCCTATTGATTTTATACTAGCTTTATTCATCCTATGAAATCAGGATAGAAAAAAAGCATTCACAAACTGTTTTCTGTACGAATTAAAAAATGAAGATAAGGGGCAGAACGAATCGTAATGTTAACGCTGCACTTAGCATAGGAGAGGTGCATATAACGTTATGATGATTTCAAAAGTTTTTCAATAGAGATGTCCTGGAAATGAGCGCGGAGAACAACCTGACGAAATCGACAGTGATCACTTGAAGACATGAACAAATCTATACAGACTGAAGAATTAAAAAAGAAAACACTCAATAGACGACTGCTCTATCAAATGAATAGAGAAGAGGTGATTATGAAATAAGTCTGCTGCAGAACAGAAAATTTTCGTATCACCGGTATGTAGCGGGCATGTGCAGCACAATGATCGGTGGCATTCTGCAATATACATGGTAGCAATCCGCACGCCCCAAATCCACCAAGTCCTCCATCCGTCCGAGATCGACAAATTGGTAAGACTTGTCTGGTAGGATAGCCGCACTGGATATATCGGTAGGCCACCAGAACTTATTGTAAAGGCCAGATATGCATTACATCACTTCCAACGATGCTTAGTGAAGTCGTCTTTTGTCCTTTTTATCACTAGTGTACTCTGACGTAATAGAGGATTCTCTGATCAGCAAAGTAAAAGGTTCGGTAAAAAAAAGAACATCGGAAAGCTTCCTGGAACCAAAAGTGCATGGTGAAAAAAATATGAGATCAGCACAAGGAATCACCAAGGTAGGCAAACGGAATTATCCGCTATACTATCTTGAATCTGGCATAACGGACGTATAAGAAAATTTCAGGACGTCTATCACCGTCACAGAACAACCGAAATGCACCAATTTTTCTTGACTGGTAACGCGAAAGCACAAGTCGCATTGTCAAAGCAACGCTTCTAAGAATTAAAACACAAAGGGTTCATTTCGAATACCTAATACTTTCTGAGAAAATTTCCATAGCCAAACGGCTGCCAAAGTGCTTTCAAAAGATTCGTGCAATCAAAGTAATAGAATTTTGTACTAACAAAAGAAACATATGTATCGTTGGCAATGATGTGTGAATTCCAACTTATTACCTAGATCAAACAAACAACTGACGTCCAAATGTTAACCGAACAAAGATTATTTACCAACTTCGTGTAAGCCCAACAATTTAAACACATGTTAAAATATGTGTGTTTAAACTCGGAAGTAAAACCGATAAGGCTTCTCAGACAATCTAATAGAAATAAATAAGTGTAAATAAATAAGTAATAAAAAATTAAGCCTGGAAGACGTACCTGGAGCATGTCGTCAAGCAGAGTGAGCACATAACGCACGTTTTGGTCCTTAGCTACGTTCGTGATGAGATTCACAATTGTCCTCGCCGCCTGACCGTTGGCATCATTAGCGGCCAACACAGCATCTCGTTCATCTTTACTCTAGAAAAAGCAAATCATATTTAAGTAGCTATTTTGATTTGGTAAACTACATACTTAGGAATGCTGGGAAGCCCTAAAATTAACTAATCACTGTGGTCAACGTCTGGTAATATAAGTTGAAGAGTAACAAAAACAGCAGAAAAGGTAGGACAACTCTTGAATAGAGGGAATAAATGGTGATATGTATGCATCAATTAAAGTAAACACAAATGATTATTTCAAAATCTTTATGAATATCTGAATATGCATTATAACAATGGATCTACAGCAAAAAAAACCTTGGCTGCTTCGTAAGCCGAAATGAAGTTGTAGTCTTCTTGAGGGATCATCTGCGAACGAAGGTATGAACCCCAACTGGGTTTCGTAGCTCGCACCTTGGAATACAAAGAACATTTAATGTACTGACGAAAAAAGAAAGGGTGAAAACAGGATACTGATCGAAAAGTACCTCGGCAGCTTCAAGTTGTAGCCTCGATGTGGCGTTGATCATATCCACCGCTGGAATGACGTGTGCCAATTCCGCCATTTGAAAAGCGTGAATGGCTCACCTGAATAAACAACCGCCCCAGAAGTACGATAAAAGCAAGGAACGGTAGGCAACACTTTCAAAGATCAATGCGACACTATAACCATATGGTACCACATCAGGGAAAAGACAGACGAAACCTAGTAATGAGCACTTTCTTGTAGTAAAGGCTTAGAACGTTGGAAACATGAGACTTACATTGGATCTAATTCCTGAACCAAATCAAAACATCACAATTTCCGGAAAAAAATGTAAGATGCCAAATCCAACAACGATAGATTTTGTTCTAGACAAATGCGAACACCACGATACTGTTACATAGATTACTGAATAGCTGGACGACCCAGCCTCACTACTTGCGCGCGCCCCAGCACAATCCCCACTTTTTCGGAGTTTTGCTGGCTTAGCCATTGTGGTTTCCTGGAGTCCCGACGACAGCCTGGCCAAACTCTGTCCCAGGTCGCCACCACTACAGGCATTCAGCGCCCTTGTGTATCAGAGGCAGGGACGGCGGTAAATCCTATTAGTGTTTTAGTTTTAGCTGGGCTTCCTGGTGGAAACACCGGAGTCCTTCTCAGCTTGGGAGACCTCTGGGCGGGATGAATTCCCCAGCTGTACATCGCATCCCGACACCCGGAAACACCTGCCTTTCACGATGAGGTAGACCGTTGGGAGGTACTAGATAGATACTACGTACTACTACTTTATACATACTGGAAACTAAGTGAAATAAAACGGAAAGCAAGTTTCAAGATGGAAAAATGTGACCCTGCAATGGAAGCGACATAAACCTATGGAATTTCCGAGAGCACTCCTATTTAAATATTAGTAAGTGAATTGGAGTAGCAAACACCAAACACCACTATTATCAGTAGTTGATACAAAACATTAAACAACTGGAGGTAACCAGCTACCTCCTGGCGTTAAATCAATAACGAACTTGAAAATGGAAAACCAACAATCAGTGACCGACCACGACCACAATCGTTTCGGGACCACCAGTTGTTGAGGAAACTCGCCCGAATGCAGAACTTCAGGGTCGACTGCGAGTTGCTGATCTCGATTCCGTTGTGCTACAAGGGTCTGGGTCACCTGGTTTTTAACACTGTGGTTCCAGTTCTTAATCACTTTACGCTAGTAAAAAGTGGCCAATAGGCTTAAGCTGATCTGAGCTTTGTGTGGAAGCCACTTTAGTACGCTATCGCAACTATTAGGACTCAATATTTTATCGAATTTTACAACTCACAACAACTTCAAGATTCATAACAAATATAACCTCCATATAAAACAACGAAATCATAAAGAAAACGAACAACAACTTAACACTGAGACCCAGAAGAAGTGTCTCGAAAGAAGTACGTTGTGTGATTTCCAAAGCTTTTAAAACAAAACGGCCAAATCTAACGACTAACACGAAACCTTTGTTGAAACTTAGAAGGAGAAGTACCATTATTATGAGAAACCTTAGCGGCCTCAGTCGTACTTACAACATCATTAAAGTGCCCTAATGAGTAAAGTTAAACTTCATTATGGGATTTTTACTTTCCGAGTCGTATTTCCCGCTTACTGAATGTTTCTAGACACTGCTCGAACGCTGACTTAGTACATGGTAACGACTGAACAGGAACGATCTCCGTCACATGTAAACACCAAGGAGGATATCCGGATAATGTAGGAGCGTTCCCAACCTGCAAAAATCATTGGGAAGTTAGAAAAAGGCGATATAGTGGAAGAAGAGAAAGCTCCCGCTTTCAAAAAAGGAGTAAGCAAATGAGTAGAGAAAGATATGACCTGAATAAGGAGCTCAGGTTCACATAGAGAGTATTTCGAGGCTAAATGAGAGGTAACATCTCTAACTGAGATTGGCGTTATAGATGATGAAAGCTGCAATAGTAACCCTTTCAGAATGGGTATATTACACAAGGATAAAGCTCTTTCTGTAGGCGTAGAAAAGGATTCCAAACCTTGAAAAATCACTAACTAAACTAATTCACTACCTCACGACACGCTTCAACCAAGACAGGCCGTCCAGAACTGGTCGTGAGCAGCTGGACAAACAGCTGATACGACGAATAATCCGTGGCCATTTCAGTACAACCAGCAATCATTCGTATTCTCTGGAAAATATGTCCATTGAAGATAGATGTTTCGAAAAAAAAAATGAATGTCAAATTACCTTCTTCTTACAAAAAGCTGAAAGTTCATGAACCAAATCCGAATAGTCGTTCAGGGCATCGTAGATGGTTAGCCGTCGTATATTTGCCCCGAGGCAAGCATCCAGCAACGACAATAAGGGAGCCTACAGCTGTTTAAGAATGCAAAATACGATAAAAGCCCATGAACACCTCGAAAATGGAATATATTGCTTGGTTTTATTAGGTTTTTAACCACAGATCATTAATCTTCCCCAGAATGAGTTGTTCTTTACGAAAGCAGTTTATCCTGGATCTAAGATTTCTAACTGGAGTGAAAATACTTTAAGGATAAAAATAAGGATAAAGCTCTTAGCTCTTAGCGTTGATTAATCCTTAAGGTATACGCCATTTATTCGACTTCATTAAGCGTCCCTGGAGGTGACTGAATCCATATCTGGCCTCTACAGCGACTCGCAGTGGCCTGCCGATGTATCGAGTCAACGCTGTTATACTCCCAGACAAGTCTGGTACCAATTTGCCGACCTCACATGTATGGAAAGCTAGGTGCACCAGGTGCACGGGGAATCGATCCCATGTGTATCGCACAGCGCGTCCGACCACTGCGCTACGTGCGCCCTCGAGAAATACTCTACACAAAATAAATAGAGCATATACATTTATATCAAAGCATAAAATAGCCCCAATTGGACCAAGGAACTTTTACCATGATAGAAAACCAAAACTAACTTTCGTCAACGGCTGATTATTGATGACGATTGCAACATGTACTGGAGTTTTGTTTAGCCAATTGGCACTCTGAAAACTAGAACTTTTATATAATAAGTAATTAGTTACCACCAAAATCTATCGCTTCATTCGCTTGCAAGGGAGAAGAGTTTCCCAGTAGGCAGTTTATAGAAACTTTTGAGTGCAGAACAAATATACAACTGCACTTGTCTCTAGATGGATGATTAATAATCACTTTTCTCCGTAATTCTTCAACATATTCACGATTTACAAACACGTAATGTGCATGGACGACAACCGATAGACAAGAGCCGTTAGTGACTGGATTGCTCCGGATGTCTAACATACTGCAGGAAGACCACCGACCCGATGGTCAGAGTTCTTCACGAAAAGCCAAGAAGAAAGATATGACGCTCGACGAGTCCCTAGAGCGAGCAGAACCCACTGGGCTACTCTTGCAGGCGACAGGGAAAAATGGAAGATTTACTGGCATCCGCTCGAGTTAGTCGACGATCAACAGGATTGCACAGTGCTTTAATGGGCATGCTTAACAGAATTTTTGGAATGTAGTTGATGCTAATATTACGATAATTTTTGGTGAGAGGAACGAGACTCCCATTCATCACTTAAGAAAACCTTGTTACTGAGACAAAAGACTACATGCGAAATCTATAACAGTTTGGAAAAAGGCTTCTCTGTTGCTGAATAAGAAAGACTACATGTGAAATCCACAAAAGTCTGGAAAAACGCTTCCCATCCAGCCCCACTCGTAATAGCACGGTTCGGAGGAAGGCGAAAACGCCGAAACGTCAGCCATCGACCAACGACACCAAACAACGACGACGACGACGACGACGACAACAACAACAACACCACCAACAACTTGTAAACCAACCTCTCGTCAGCTGATCAACAAGGGCAGATCGTAGGAACATACAAATAAAGTTACCGATTGTTTATACCGAGGTTTTCAGAAAGTCAGCCTTTTGAGTTATTGAGGCTTCCAAGTTCGAAAGAACGATTTGCACTTCACGTCTTGGATCTCTTTCGACGAGTTTTTTCTTTTGTGAAATTCCTACCGAAAACCGGTTCTGCGATTAAACGTAAACTTGGGACCTTCAACTGGGAATATATAAAAGGTGTATCCTGAGAAGATTTAACACACGAACAATAGTAAAACGCAAAAGCGGACTTATTAAACATATGACTCGGACCGAGAAAACGATGAACTTGAAACAGAACCCACATTTCGTTCCCTTTGTTTGATTTCTTTCTGAGCCCACAGAGTAGAGTATCCCAGGAAATTACAAGCCTGCAGCACAAGCCAGTAGACACAGCGAATCGCCAACACACATAACCACGTAATATCTATCATACCTGAAAAGTACCAAGTACTGCTTACTGTACTGAAGAATGGAAAAAATCAGCACGGAACAACGTAAGAGACCTCTATAGGATATAAACACCTCATAGAAACTAGGCCATAACCGCCCAGAACTCTCCTCAATGTACGAGTTTTAAACCACCAGAGGAAAAAATCCCCGACAACCGTAATGACACGTAATGTTAGCGCGATGACGCGCAAAATTTAAACACAGGTTAACCTGTAGAAATTTACTTACACTGAAATCACTGTGAATTTTTACGGTTAGTGTTCATATCTAATCCTGATACTTAGCGCTTTAAATGAAGGAGTAGACTTAAAAGCGGTTTTAGTTATTTCTACAGTGTTTTGCATCTATCAGTTAACCATTGTAGGGAAAAACTACAATAGTACTCAGTTACGGCGAAGGTTACGGTACGGTAGAGAACATCTCTTGTCTAAAAGTTGGTAGTGCATTAGGAAGGTGGTATTTATTGTTAAGTTATTACTGGTTTTTAGTATTTAGTAGACTACGCCCTCCCAACTGTTTGCGCCTCATCGTGACTGGGAGGTGTTCCTGTGTGTCGGACCGCGGTGTATAGCAGGAGGAGCATCTCTTAATAACTCGAAAGACCGACTTTCTATAAACCTTGGCTTAGATAGTTGATATATTTATTTATGTGATCTTATAAGCTGATATTCTTAAGCTGACGCGAGGTTGGCACAGATCTTCGTTGTCGTTGTCGTTGTTTTTGATGTTATTGATCGATGGCTAACGTTTCGGCGACTTCGCCTTCCTCAGAGCCGTGATGTTACGTGCGGGAATCCCCACTGCTTTTGCCCAGCACTGCTTTTGCTAGAGACGTTAACCACGTTGCGGTATCTATATATTCTTAAAATCTCCACGCTTAACATCATGGCTCTGAGGAAGGCGAAGTCGCCGAAACGTCAGCCATCGATCAATAACGTCAAAAACAACAACAACGACAACGAAGATCTGTACCAACTTCGTGTTAGCTTAAGAAGATCAGTTTATAAGATCAAATAAATAAATATAGCAGGAGGATCCATCACGCCAGCATGCCCTCCATAGCTAAGAAAGAGTCCGGCTTTTCCGTCAAGAAGCTTGGCTAGGAGTAAACTAATGCCGGGATCCATCACCGTTCTAGTATCAAACAAGTGCCATGGTGGCAAATCTCCATCTGATCCACAAGGGCACAAGGGCGGCAACTGCCTGTGGCGGTGACGATCTGGGGCGACTTTGGCTGGGCTGACCTCGGGACTCCAGAAAACAATGGCTAACCAGCAAATGTCCGGTCCTATGGAACTTATGCTACGATCCACACAATCATTGAAGCCGGGCCATCCAATTGTCCAAGTGACTAGACTACATACAATTCATTATCGTGCTTTCTCAACGGTATCACTAAAACGTGCGGAGTAGAATGGGAAGGAAGCGTATAAGTGTTGCGATTGTCTTGTTTCTTTATCGTGAAATCAATCTTTATCTTGGAAACAATCAATATAGTATGCGTTACTTCGACGTTCCATTTCCAACTTTTACTTCACTGCAATGGGCGACGGCGATCGAGAGTAAGTCGTTCTCCTATTATATAAAGCTCCTATAGTACTTCTGAGGGCGAGTGTGGCGCAGTGGTTGGAGGCGCAATCGCGACACACACGTGGAATCGATCCCCGCACCCAAGGCCCACCAATCCTTCCATCCCTCCGAGATCGGCAAATTGGCACCAGACTTGTCTGGGAGGGTAACAGCACCGGCTCGATAAATCGGTGGACCACTGCGAGTTATTGTAAAGGCCAGATATACATTCAACCACCTCCAACGGTGTTTAATGAAGTTGATTGCAGGACGCATCCCTCAGGGATTGATCAAAGCCGTGAGCTTTATCCTTTTTTATATCAATTCTGGAAGCAGCAGTGCATTTTTTGAATTAGACACCTTAATATCCATCAAATTCTGGATAACGAAGGTTTATACCAAATAGCAATCGCCACTCAACATCAACAAATGTTCCTAGAGACTTCCTTACTCATACAGGTATTAAACTGGGACTACTTCCAGGAGCGTTGCAGAGTTGAAATGAGCCGTAAATTATGGGCATTCATGAGGAAGGATTTTTGTTATCCTTGTAAGGAAAAGCTGATGAAGACATTGCGATTCACACTACTGTAATCGTAATCTACTATAATCCTAGATCTCTTTGAGAAACAAATCCCAGAGTTCTACCATTTACAGTATTACATACCGCAGTAGGCAAAGAAGTCAATAAGCGCCAGACTTCACAAGTTCGCCGACTTGATGGAATCGGAGTGTTCCGTTCAAGAACGTGAAAAAGTTGTCTATCTCTATGAACATCTTAAATTAGGAGGCAATAGTCACAGCGTCATCCTGGAGCCGAATATCCCTTGTTTTTTGCACTGCCTCTCGCCTCTTTCTGCACAGTTCTACAAGTGTAGACGGTCCTTCGTGATCCATTGAAATTGGCCATCATTTGTTCCCTTGAGTGTTGTAAGAACTATGACATTAGCAAAGCAAAAATGTAGTTTTTGACTATCGACTCTTATTTCCATCTAAGTCCTTTACAGTTTCCACATGTCGTTCCCGTAAGTGGCGCTGAATACCAGTTTTAGATGGGAAGTGTCCTCTTGTTAGACTCCTCTTCTGCCGTTGACTTTGAAGTCATTGCAATGTAATAACGAATTTGTGGTCGTCATGTTTCTGTAAAACGTAGATTATTATTCATCTCGGTTCTAGAAAGTTTCCACTTACAGCAAATAAATCAATGGGAATAAGCTCTATTGCGTTCTCCTACGCATTACTTGTGATGTGTGTCCACGGCACCAATCTAAAGTTTGGGTTATCAAGTCTTTATATATGAAATACAGCAATAGCAGGATAATGAGACTAATAATAAAAACATAAGGTATAACACAGTAATGCTGAGATATTTGCAAAATTTAGATCCCATGCCAGACTCGAACTCCGGATTACACTTTCCGGGGTTCACTCGGTACCAGCTGCACCACTGAGGCTTTTGTTTTCGCTTTCTCTCAGCCACTTTTTCACGCTAACGTTGCCATCAGCAATCATTTCGACTGCAGCCTCAGCTTAACGGGGTTCAATGCCCAATTATAATTCTCAGATCATTTTCGTTGACGGTTACTTGCTGATAGAACCGTTAGGGTGAAAAACCAAGAGACAGTCAAAGCGAGGGCCTCAATGTGGCAGTGGGTAACACGTGAGCTTCGGAAAGGGTAATCGCGAGTTCGAGTTTGGGCTGGGATCTGAATTTTGCAAATCTCTCAGCCTCATTGTGGTTGCATTTCGCATAATACCCTGCAATAAAAAGTAGTAATCAGCAAATAAACAGTGTAACGTATAGGTTGCTATATTCTACTACGTGAATTGAAGAAGCAGGACTTAAATGAATAAAGAAGGCATAGCCTCTACTAGTATTCCTATGGCAGTTTTCGTATATGACCTAGAGCGAGTAAAGTTATTGCAAAAGAGTGAAACTATTGCTGGAGAAGAGGTTCTAGAATTCCTCTCAACTGATGGAGCTGTTTCAACACAAATGTATTGTGGAAGATGTGGGCAAACATATCAGATAAAGTTGTATATAAGACGTTACGTCTATACAATAGCACAGGAGACCGAGAGAACTCATCAGATAAGACTAGAACAGCTTAAGAAAAAAGACGCTTTGAACAAACTCAGTGCGAAGATGAACCAAGACTGTTTCTGTCGCAGTAGAATCAAATGTCTACTACCGTAACTACAAATCCCTTTCTGTAATCTCATCAAATTCCACAACTTCATATGGTACTAGGTTTTCCACAGCGTCTTCATATCGGCCCTTGATAACGCTACCGTATCAGACCTAGCGGAATGAACTCTTCAATTACAGCTTTAGCGTTTTGGACGATTAGGTCCTCATATGATAGCTTTTATTAGTCTGCTTCGATGACCACGCCTCCTAACCACTAGGGATTCGTGCTCACCAGTGTCTATATTGGGTTTTTCCTTGTTGAAGACTACCCAGAAACTCATTCAGTGCACTACTCCACTTAATCGCAGACGTTTGACTGAACTGATATTCAAGATAGGCTACGTGTAAACACGAGCACACCCACCAAAGAACACATTGATAGAATATGTCTGTATACGTATAGATAGTGCAAGTGAATTCAATGTAGAAGGGAGAGCAAATTCACCACTTGAATCCACAACGGCAAACAAACAGATGGCCGCTTTTGGTCTGAGTCAACCATCCCCCACGAGAATATCCATCTCTATCCACCCCGTTAACCTCCTTAGGGGTGCGTCACACTGCTTCTCGTGAAACGACGAGAAAGAAGTTTGATCCGTACAGAAGAAAGTTCTAGTCTTCCAATGACTATAATATACAGTGAAACTAAACAGATTAACTATTGAAGCACCGCACCACGGGATAGGCATTAAACGAATGCATTGTGACATAATGAGATGAGGGCGGTGTTTGAGAGGATGAATGTGAATAATAGTCCTAAATCGGATGAATGTACAGTAATAAAGCTATTATATGACAGATGGATGAGTGGACAATGACATTATCGATCGGTCAGGCTGTTTTTTCACTAAACAATTCCCTGATGAACGAGAGTCATCGGTTCATATGGGAGCACTCAGTGTGCACCACACCATGACGAGAATGGAAGTACGCAGATATGAAAATTCAGTTAGTAATAGGGAAATCAGTCAGCAATAAAATCGTTTTCTAAAGCTCATATCGAGTGAACAGCAGATTTTTGAACGCTTAAGAAGGATTTCATTATCTACTCAACAACTGTGATTCTCCAATGATCGGGATATTTACAAAACTCCGGACCGCAGGTGTCTGCGGTGGGGAACGAATTGGCTGAGAAACGGACGAAACAAAGGACCCGCATGATGTGGTGGTGAACGCGCTACTCCCTGGAAAGGACAATAGCGCGTTCGTTCCCCACTGCAG